ATTATTTTGAGAACTCTCCTTTGTTGATTGCGAAAATGGGTTTTGACTCAAGAAATTGGGGGTGTTGTAGAGGAAGTTCATCTTTTGTTTCTTTTAAAGACTTTTCTTGAAACATTGAACAACATCGGTTGAGATTGAGGTGTTTAGTGAGGTTTTGCAAAGAGATGGAAAATGTTAGGGTTTTTGTGAAAACCTAGAAATTGGGGGGTTTCTTTTTAAAAATGTGAGAATTTTATATTGATTGTTTGTAAGTATAATGACTTCTTGATGTATGAGAAATTGGATACTATACTAGAACTTATTGGCAAATGCTTATGCATATGTAGTTATGAATTGATCCATTGTGAGTTCCATGAATTATGAAAATTGAAATCTCTGGGAGGTTAATGTTCAAGAATATTGCATATGGTCGCAAAATGGCTAAGGTATTGAGGATGGTACAAGATATGGAAGGTTGCCATATGTTGTTACATTTAATTGAACATGTAGTATTTTGTTGATTTATGTTAAAGGGAGGAAAAATGGGATATGTGGCTGTCGCTGTATTATTGTTGAGATACTTAAAAGTGGAAGAATGTTATGAAATATTGATCATCATTGCATTACACGTTCGTTCAATTGAATATTATGCATTTTGAATTGAGTTGGGAAAATAACTACATTTAGAAAGGAGTATTTTGAAATGAGAACTATGGAAATGTTTATGGGGTAAATATGTTGGTAAGTCCAGATAGGAGGTGTAGATGAAATTGATAAGTTGGTCTGAGTGTCCGGGGTGAAAGATCGAAAACACGCACTGAGGAAGTACCATTTCCCTTCCGGTTAGCAACTGGTAAAGTGGGATTTTTGGTAGTGCTTATAGCGATCCCGGGTTTACCCTTGTTGTACAGTGATCCGGACATGTGTCCGTGGATGTTGGTTGTTGTTTATTTTCTTGTTTGCATCCTTTTTACTTCGTATTTGAGTTATAGGATGTGTTGAGCGGATTCACGTTCGTTCAATTGAATATTATGCATTTTGAATTGAGTTGGGAAAATAACTACATTTAGAAAGGAGTATTTTGAAATGAGAACTATGGAAATGTTTATGGGGTAAATATGTTGGTAAGTCCAGATAGGAGGTGTAGATGAAATTGATAAGTTGGTCTGAGTGTCCGGGGTGAAAGATCGAAAACACGCACTGAGGAAGTACCATTTCCCTTCCGGTTAGCAACTGGTAAAGTGGGATTTTTGGTAGTGCTAGTTGAGCCTACTTACAGACACCAACCTAGGGATTACCTGAGTCGGATTTACCGCCCCATTGAGTGAAAATTGTAATTTCTGAATTCTTGAGATTTCAAACTATTATTGAAACATAGTGATCTTCAAAGAAAATCATGTAAATGAAAAATTTCTTTAAAATGGCATTGCATGGAATTTGCATTTAATATTGGAAATCTTGCGTAAATGTATATACTTTGCTAAGGATTCTCTACTGGGCTTTATGGTCACCCCTATGAGATTTTGGTGCAGGAAAAGATGTGGTGATCCTGCCGAGTTGAGGGCGTGGATATATTTTGTGAAGAGTAGATAACTCTATTGTGTTGTGAATTTATTTGCTAGCCAAGGGCTTAAATGTATGGGTTCGTGAACCATTTTTGTGTAACCGGGCTCAAGCCTTGGAATATGTAAGCCCTTAAGGGCATTTTATTTATTTATTTATTTTTGGGATGTGATGCTCTACATGCTATAGATTCATGTGTTTTCATACCATTGAATGTATAATTCGCATGTAGAACTTTTGTACGCACTTGATTGATTAATGATGAGAGGTTGGAGATCTAGTTCATTCCTTAATGAATGTTGGTTAATGTATCTAAATTATATTGGATTATTTTGGGGTGTTACACAATTTCATTTACACTTCCTATCCAGACTTATCAGCGTATTTACTCCAAAACAATTCGATAATTCCCATTTCAAACATATTCTTTTCCCAATGTAAGCTTTTCCATGACTCAAATTTAAAATGTATAATTATCAATTGAAAGAAGATGTAATGCAATAATTAACAACGCTTCATAAGAATTCTCATCTTCAAGCATCTCAACAAGAACACAAAGTCAACCAAAATTCCCATTTTTTCCTCCCTTCAACATTAATTCACAAAATGCCACATGTTTAATCAAGTCTAACAACAAATGGAAATCGTTCCAAATCACAATTCTCATAATTCATGGAACTCAACAATATGCCAATTCATAACTACATGTGTATAAGCATTTAACAATAATTTCAAGTATAATCTCCAAAACCTCCATACATCAAGAAGTTATCATATTTGCAACAATAATATAAGTTTCTTACTCACCCTTTCATTTAATTCAACAAAAAAAATCCATCAATCCCCGCATTTTTTTCCAAAACCCCCAACATTTCCTCATCCCTTTACAAAACCTCACTAAATACCTCAATCTCAACCCATGTGGTTCAACATTTCAGGAAAATCTTTAAAAAGAACAAAAGATGGATTTCTTCTACAAGACCATCAATTTCTTGAGCCAAAAACCCATTTTCAAAATAAACAAAGGAGAGCTCTCAAAATCAATCAAAAACTTGCAAAAACATATATATAACTCTACGTAATTCCCTACCTCAAGTTTGAAGGAGAAAAAGAGATGAAACCCTAGAAATCGATGGTGCAAATATCCAATCTCCACCATACACAATATAGCTTTTGAGGAGCTATTCAACTTTGATGAAGGAACTTGGGTTGAAGATGCAATGAATCCAAGAAGATCAAGAGTTTGGAGGGTTTTGGTGCATGAAATGTAGAGAGAAGGGAGAGTAGTGTATTTTAATTGGGAGAGTGATATAAGAAAAGTGATACACACAGCCTAAAAAGAGAAGAAAAATAGAGAAGAAAAACAGAGCTTCACGGACTCAGGCCCGTCCGCACGTGTGGAGCGTACCTTCTGCATATGCGGCTTTGATCCCCGCACGTGCAGCACCTTCCGTACCTCCCCCTCCACACCTACATATAATGTAGTGTGTAACCTTCCAAAACTCACACTTTCCTGCTCGTGGGGCCTCATCCTCCGCATGTGCGATCTAAGGCCCCGCACATGCAACCCTAGTCTTCCAGCCCAGAATTTCTTTGTTTCAACTCCTGACTCGATCGTGCACCCTTTGAAAAAAGAGAAGTTCTGTACCGGAATAAACATGAACAAAACCTTGTGAGAAACTCCCAACGCGATAAACCCAACGATTAACAAGTCCTAAGCTAAACATACACCCCAACGAGACAATTCCAAGGTTAAACAAGGAAAAAATGAAACGAATAGGACACCCGGTCATCACAAAAGTCAAAAAAGCCCAAAAACAAAAACCAAACTAGACTAAAAAAGTCAGATTAAAAAAGTCCTAATACAAAAAAGTTGACTACCATAACTAATGCCAAATGAAGTTGTAATAAACTTTGATTTAATAATTTATTATTTCAACCACTACAATAAAATGTAACCAAACACCATTTTACTAAATATTAATTTAAACCGTAACATGCCTCTCACCACAATTGCATGTAACCAGGATCATGTTAGAACATAGTCAAACATTATAACAAGACATAACAAATTTAATTTAACAGTGACTTAATTACTTAATACTATATTTTTACAAAAACTTTGCTTTTCTCATCTAAAAATTTGTTAGTAAAAATATAAATAAATTAAGATTTGACTTTTGTAACAAAATAGAAATTTATTTTTAATTTTATCAATTTAAATTCTAAACTTTTGATTTGTTTTAAATTTAAATCATTTGCTTATTTTCGTGAGAAGGAAGATTGTACGCTTGAGCGAAGGAAGCTTGGCTTGAGCGATGCCTCTTGAGGAAAACACATATATTTGGTTCCTCGCTCGAGCGAGCATCGCGGCCCTATTTTCTATAAATATGCGTTTCAGTCCAAATCTAAGGTAACGCCTCCAGATATTCTTCTTGGATATTAGGGTTTATATCTGGGGCTATTTTGCTAGTTTTCTTTGATGTTTAATTGAGTATTCAACTCATGGTTTAAGAAGTATACATCAAAGGGTAATTTGCTTATTCTATACAAAAGAGAGAGTTGTTCTTCAGTAGATTTTGGAGAATTCGAGCCTGAAGTTTTGGTGGATTCTAGAGTGGCTCATCGTCGTGATTCGATATTGGCGTTGTGGATTCAACGTTAGGTAAGACAATTCCAAGGTGAAGACAGGGTTGGAAGAGGCACATTGGGGTCGATTCAATTCGGGTGTGGATTCGCTAGGTAATTGAGAGAACACTTGTGTAATTCCTTTATATCGTCTTAGTGGATTGTTTTGTGGCTTTTGCCCATGGTTTTTTTTATCACAATCAGAGGCGCTCCAATTATGGTTTTTCCACGTAAAATCATTGTGTCAATTTATCTTGATTGTTTGATTGGGATTGTTGTTTACTGCTTAAAATTGATACATAATCACAAATCAACATCTAGGGGATTTCTAGATTTTTCACCTAATAATAAAATCATTTGTTTTGAAATCAAGTTCTACTCTATGATATAACCTATGCTATTCCTAATGAATTTGTTGTTGAAGTGTGACCTCGGCCTGTTAAGCCGTCTCTGTAACCATGTGTGGACTCTAGAAACCAATTTTAATTTGTTTTAGCTTAAACAATGCACAAAACTACCTATCAATGGAAAAAAGTTAAAATAAATCTTGGCTAGTTTATTTTATATTGTCACCCTTTCAAAAAAAAAAATGTTGTCACCCTTTCATTTTTCACCTAGTTTTTTTATCAGCAAAGTAAAAATTTTATTAAAAACATGAAATGAAATGTGATCTTTATTAGCTTTGACTTAGCACTAGGCTCCTGTATGTTTATTTATGATTGCAAATATCAGCCTTCTTCATTTTTTTCTAGGAGATTGGAATGTTTTCGATGCAAATGCTTAGTTGATGCTTCTTTAAATATTGATGCAGCTATTGCCTGAACAGATATATCTATGCACTTATATCTAAGAGGGAGTTAGTAATTGCTCTAGTAAATATGGCTCTCTTTTTGCTTTCCGTTTTTGTCCTCCTTTATTCTGTTAAGATTTTGTTTTATTGAAGAGTTTTGGATTAATTGGTAAATGCACAGATTACTCACTCTCTGTGTAGGAGAACTAACACGTTTCCCTCTTGCCAGCCACGTCTACCTCTTCTCTCTCTCTCTCTCTCTCTCTCTCTCTCTCTCTCTCTCTCTCGAAAATGACAGTGAGATCACATTATGGACAACGATCAATGTCTCATGATGACGATCGAAGCTGTGTTGGACCAGATCTATGGGTTTAACTATGCGTTCAACCAATTTCAAATGGGGTATCAAAGAGCCACTACTTTCAAGCCATTGTTCCTACAGTGAAGGCCATCATCTTCAACCAAAGCTCTTGTTTGGGTATCTCTGTTTTTTTATTTTTTATTTTGGTTTCCTTTTCTGTTTTAATTTGTTGTAACTTAATGTTTCTTTTTTCCTTCTGATTTCCAGGGGTCAATCTTCAAAGCTGAAACATAGCTAGAATAGCTGACAATCTTATTATTTTTTAAATGGTAAATAAATATTATCACTGATTCTTCATTGTTTGTGGAGCTTTCTTTCTTTCTGTTATCATTTTTCTCTACTTTTATTTCTTTGGTTTGTTATTCCTTACTCTAGTTTATTTATTTTTATTTTTTTTCAAGGGAAGTAGACTGAAGTCTCGAATTTTGCTTTCTTTTGGCTACAAATTTGTTTTCCATATTTTTTTTTTTTTTTGGTTTCATGTTTTTTAGCTTCAATGTTATACAGTGGCTATAGATAGAACGTATGAAAGTTCAAAAGTTTCACTCTTTGTTACTTTTTATCAATTAATTAGAACCAAGGGAAGGCCACTTTAATCTTTTCAATGAACTTTGCAAATTAGTTAGTTAGTTGTGAAGCCAACCACACAATTCAAGTAGTTTCTAAACATATAGCCTTTTTAATGCTAATGTGATAGTCAGACTTTTTCTGCAATCTTGGTTGTGACCACCTCTTAATTGTTTGTATGGGGGTTTTTATTTTATTTTATTTTATTGAATATCTTATTACCCAAATAAATAAATAAAAATAGGTCTTCTTCTTTCATGGGAACCCCTTATTTCTTATTATTGTAATTTCTTTGTTTGTGTATTTTTCAAAAATATGTTTTATTTTTATATGGAAGTATTAATGGATGCTTTCTAATCTTTTTGATGTTTAAATGTTTAGGATTGCAGTAGCATGGTAATTGAATTTGCTATATTTGTGGGCTAACTTTTTGTTGGCTTTTGAGTGACAGATTTACAAAGATTTTGAGCTTGTCATTTCATATGGATAATTACTGGTTTCATCATTATGGGATTTTTTTGGCCTTTTTCAAGTAGTGATTGAAGTGCTCACCTTCTCTCTCATTGTTATGGTCAAAAGGGCTACTTTTAAATAGTAGCCTGATTCCTTTTTATATTACATTTAAATCTAGGTTCAAGATAGATTCTTGTTTTTTTTTTTTTTTTTTTTTTTGTCCCCAATAGATCTGTTAGGAGGTGTTGGCATCTAACACCTTGTATCAAAATACCTCTGTTGCTAGAAGTTCGATAACTTTATTTAATTGTTCTTTTTCTAACAGTTAGAACATATGTTAGTTTGCAACACATAGATACCTAAAAGCAAAAATATCCCTTCTTTAGTAGAAGGATAATGAGATTCTTCATTACTCACTCACTTGTGATGATAAACTGTTATTTTTTTTAGTCATAGTTTCCATTGTGTTCAACCTTTGATAAAAGGTATCTTTAGAATCCTCCAGTATATCTTTGGGCTTTCTGCCTTGTGTTGAACTCCCTCAAAAAGCTGCTAAAAAGGGAAAAGGACCCATCATGTTTGCATCTTATCCAATCTAAGACATGTAGGGTGTGTTTGGTTTGTGTTTTGAGATAAATTTTTTATAAGAAAAATTGGAGAGAGAGTTTAGAAATTTTTTTGGTTTATTTGGTTGTACATTTTGAAAATAGTTTTGGAGTTTGGGAGTTTGAGATGATTTGATATTTTGTTGTAGTGGAGTAGATGTGTGTGAGAGAAAAAGTGATTGAGAATGAGAGAGGAGAGAGAAAAAGTGATTGATTGATGTGTAATAGAGAGAGAAGTAATTTTGAAATTTTTTTGAAAAAATTTGTAACCAAACATGTTTTTGGAAATTTTCTTCCAAAAATATGTTTCAAAATACAAACTAAACACATCCTTAGTTCCTTGGGTGTTAAACTATATTTTTATATTGATGTCTTGAGAAATTTAGAAGTTTAATGTAACAAGCCTCAAACCTCCATTCTCAAATGAGTCTCAATTGATCATTGTAATTGCTATACAATTCGCAAGTATAACCTAAAATATTTTTATGATCATTTAGAATGTTGATAGAATCTACTTCTGTAGTAAACTATTCAATAATTGTCATCGTATGTTTTAGATTTTTAGTACAGCTGATGGCAATTTTGTTCAACATCAACTGCCATTTTATCATTTTTTAACCACTCTAAATTAATAGTTTGTAGAAAGTCATGGTAAGTACATTAAAAAAGGAAATGTGGAAATGCAAAAACATCACTTGTGTATTTTGTGTTTTGCAAACAATAAATTTACCTTTTTCATTCTTTTTATGCCAAACATTATTTTGAATTTTTGCTTAAAAAAATGTGGTTTTGACATCAATTCTTATTTACAAATTCGGGATTTTTGAAATGTTTCTTTAAAAAAAATGAAAGGTGCTTTGTGATTTAAAAATTGCCACTTTCACATCGTCTTGGTCGTAGATTTTGAACAACATTAATGTTCGTTCTGCATAAATCTACTGTTATTACTTGAGATCATGATTAAGCATATGATTAAACTTGATCAAAGAAACGAATTGCATGTATTCTTTAAAATTTCTTAGATAATTTTGATATCTTCTAGCCACTAATGTGAGACCAAATGTCATGACCCCATTCCACCCCCAGTAGAATGGTTCCCTAATGGCCAGTAATTCGAGATTACCAAAGGCCAACTTACAAAGATTCGCACACAGAGTATACGTATGGGGCTTACATGTGTGGAAGCAATAATTTTAAATCTAATTAGTCCATAAGAGCTGTGCATAGATTGAATGAAATGACATACATTTAACATAGATTTACAACTTGAGTACAAATAAAACAAAGTGCATGTTACATCTTGACCAAAAGGCTTCTCAAGTCGACAAATACAAAGGACATGTAATACAAAGCTAAGAAGCATAATCTTCAAGATGCTAACAAAAACATGAATCCAAAACATCTTGCACATAACACATCTAGGCGTCGCCGCCTTCTTGGATACTCAGTGAATGATATAATTAATAAAGGTTTGGAATGAATGATATCCGAGATCTTTATCAAAACAATACATAATCATAGCTTGTAACAAAACATGGGGTGAATCAAGTTCATCAATCAAATCTTTCAAAGCTTCAAGGGATGCTTACTAGCATCTACATAAAACAAGGGATGGCATTCCGGACAAACCCACGCGGTAAACCGTTAGTGGCAAGACAAAGGAGATATCTCAAACAAACGACTAGTTGCATTATAGTCCCCTAGCACTAAGGACTTTCCAAGAATGTCATCAAAACAAACATAATACTTGATACAAAACTAGGGATAATCATTCATGCTTGATCAAATACTTTTCCAAAACGAAGCAAAGTTTTATCAAAACTTTATAACATAGCTTTATTAAAAATACCACTCATATAGCTCTTCGGGTGTAGGGGTTAAGGCAAGAATCCAAGACCTACAAATACATAACAAAGTCTACTGAATGCACTTCAAGAAGATAAGAAGGAATGCTCAAAGTTGGTTGTGCAATGCATCCTTAAAACAAGCTTTGCATGAGTGTAAATGATCTCGGCATTTCTTTCAAAACTAAGTCAAGACAAAGCAAAACATGCGCTGGGTGTTAAAACACTGTTTCTCATCTCAGGAAAACATGTTGGGCACCAACCAGGTCTTGGCCGAGATCCCACACCCCTTGGCCAAGGTATGGTCTCGATGACCACATTCAGGGAAATGAAGTCAAGAAAATCTGGGTTTCTTTTTTTGAAGAACATGGAGAACATGAATGCTAAAATCATAACTTCTTTATTCAAAGTCTGCGATTTCATGATATGAGTTCGAAAACATGGACCTGGGTACCCATACTTGAAGACCTTATGAAAACAAACACAAAAACATAGATCTTGATACAAACTTTCGGATCAAAACATGGTTTTATTTCAAGAACACAAGAACATCATTTTCTCTTTCTAAAACAAACTTTAAATCAATGCATGGCTCATGAATCATGCTAGATCATGCAATGCGATTAGATGAACGTAAAGAACAACAAGAGTAGATAAAGATTCTAACCTCGAAACACGGATCTAATGGTTCAAACTCTAAAGATCAAGCTTGGGATCTAGCTCTCCCACTCTAACTTCCTCTCTTCTTCCTAGAGCTTCTCCCTCTATCATGCAAAAGATATGACACACAATGATATGTTTGTCCGCTGCTGGCTGACTTAACCCTCTGCTGGGACACGTGGCAATGACTGGTTGGCTCTCCTCCAAAGGTGACTGGCTGACAAGACAAGAGCATGACAAGGTGTGCATAACAGACAAGGTGGCGTGGGCATTCCGGCAAGGCGAGGATCTAGGGTTAATACATCAGCTTCGGCAAAAGGGGTCCCAATGATCTCAGCTAGAAAGGATAACACATGGTCCAAATGTGTCACACCTTGGCCTAGATGTGCCATACCTCGGCCTAGGTTATACTGGTCCAGAGCAAGATCACTAGGTGCAAGGATTAAAGATCTAGGACGCCTAATTAGTAACATCTCAGCCCAGATGATACACATCTCGACCTAGATGCCAGGATGAAAGTGGAGGTCAACCAAGGTGGTTCCAAGATGGTCCTAGGTATAAAAGGTTCAAAGGTGTGACCTAGGCTTAAGGTGACCTCGACTCTACACACCAAGCAGGGAACAAAGCATACAAGTAACACTTAGACAAAACAAATAAAGGTCTGCAAAATGCAACTTAACAAGACAGAATCATGTAAATGCAGGCAAGCATGACTAGGGCAAAGTGAGGGTTGTTACACCAAACTAACCTAGATTCTTTCCAATTTTGGTGAATCAAGCATATATGTTTGTTGAGTCAAGTATCTTTGTGTGGTGAATTAGTTATTTCAATATAAGCATGGCCCTACCTTCGACACAAAATCTTCAAAACAAGCATCTATCTTTTGTTTGTGAATTATCATGTGTTTCTTATTTGTGTCTTGCCCTTTTTCATCGTGCTTTGCTGCATATTTTTAAAAATATACAATACATTTGATGGCCACCTGATTTGATATAATCATACGCAAATGTGCACATACTAATGCATAGATAAAATTGCTTTTGTCCATGCATTTATTGCAAGTTATGCACTACTGTTGAATAAGCTTTCTGGTCGACACTCTTTATCTTCAAAGCTGAACTTTCTGATATTTGTACTTTTAAAATGCTTAATGTGTGCTAGATTGGGATCTTCTTTCTAGCTACCTTCATTAATATTCGATATACTTTTCATCAAAAATTGTAGAGATCATGGACTTTGGTTATCCCCAAAATCTTTCCAAATATCCTAAAGTTTTACATCACTCATGAAGGAGCACACTCCACATTCTCGTCAAAAGGTTTGATGCTTGCATTACTTTTCTAGTTTGGCATGATTCTCTAGAATTGGACCAATGTTGGTCATTTTTTTTTTTTTTTGGGGGGGGGGGGTGGTACGACCAATGTTTAAGGTTTGTTTTACTTGTGAAAAATGAAATGCCTTATTTTGTTTTTTGGTAAGACCAATGTTGAATGTTTATTCTACGGTGGTCAGATAATTAAATTCATAGTTCAAGTCACTATTTTTTTAAAATTTAACATAATTATTTTAATTTCTTTTTAGTTTTTTAAGCAGTTAAGAGTCCAACTGAGATTCTCTTCAGTAAGGATAAGGAACACACTTTCCTTTTCAAACCTTCCAGGTAGAAATTGGTGCTTTTCCCCCGAAAAAAAAAAAAAATTATTGTCCACTTGCCTTTTCTTATTTTTACTTGATTTTTAGTTTGTCTAATACTCACAGATAAATGTTCTTTGTGTGAACATATTGTGCTCTTTTGGTGTCTTTGGGTATGAATTTCTGATCCACGAGGCTTTGTAAATGAGTTTTGATTTTCTTTAAAGTTTCATGTTTTAGTTATGGCGCAAACTACAAATTTTATTTAGCTATGTGAGGAAAAAGTGTTTTCAAAGTGCATAGATTTGTGGTTATTCTTTTTCTTATGCATGTGTCTATTATTTTTCTCAATTAATATTTTACAATTTTTGTTTCCATTTCACTCCCTCTTTTCTTTTTTGGAGGGGGGTGTTGGGGTTAATGGAATCATCCACTGAGCATAATATTTATATACATGCATGGAGTATTCCCGAGCCACCATAGATTGTTTTGTTGGTTTATATATTTCTATTTTATTTGTCTTGTGCTTTTTATAAGGACTCTACCATGCCCAATCTTTTCAAGTATGACATATTTCGATTTATAGCTTTGACAGGGGTTTCTACATATTATTTTATACACTTTAAAAAGAAAAAAATAGTTCTGCAAATTTGTCTTCTTATTAACTCTTCAATTTTGAATACTCCTTTTATTTGTCTATCCACATGCTGGTAATAATAAGAAATGAAAAAAAATATTATTTATTCAGTTTGACCAGAGTATTTACATTTTTTTTCTTCACATTTATTATATTATACCTTTTCCTTTGGTTGGTTTTGTGATTGTTGTTTCAGCAAGCTCATAAAAGCAAAAATTGTGTCCTCTTGGTCCATTCAGTCATTTCAGTAAGTGAATGGTTTTGGAGTACTAAATAAGGAAGAAACTCAAAATGCTTAAACCTTGGAT